GTTAAAGCCCACGTTAAATGACAAGAATGACATCACCATGCTCTCATGACCCTCCCAGTAGACAGGTTGCAAGTGACTGGGAACATTGGGCAGTATTCCTTCTGAAGCTTGAGGCAAAATTAAAGGTTATTGCAATTTATTATAGTTATTCACCACTCACCAAAAGCTTTATATATGCAGATGACCTCGTCCCAACACCACAAGCAGAAGGCCACACAGAGAATTTATTTACGACATTTATACGCCACCTGTCTCAGAGCGGTTTACAAGATATATATATTTTATTATTAGCATAGTACAATATCAGTATTATATATTACTATATTGTACTATACCATTATATTGTAATACTAAGGCAGAATCAGATCCCATATTTTTGCAGATCAATGGACCTAATAGTTATGATGGCAAATACCCCTCAATTTTGTTCTGTAGGCTCTTCAGAAAATATAGCTTTAGTTTTACAAAGTGCCGGAGTCTTCATGTAGAAAGGAGAACGGATATGGACTTGACCATATATGGGAAACAAAGACGGGTTTTGGTGCCAAAGAGAAGTTTTTTGTGCAAGGGTGAAGTATCGGTCAAGAGACATGCTGACCTTGCAAAGAGGAACTCGCCAAATCAGCAGCTGTTTCCAGCTGTATTCAGCATCTTGAGATGTTTCCAAAAAGGGGTTTGCTTATTGGGAAACGAAACTTAAAAATATATGATCTAATTGCTTAACATAAATATAAGATTGACAGCTCTTTTAACCAATGATTTAATCTTTGGGGTGGCTCTTAAAGCCGAACCCCTTTGTATGTATAAAAGAAACCCTAACCCTTTGTGCTGGGTGACTTCCCCCAGAGACGCCTTGTTGCGTCGGAAAGTCAACTAGCAGCTGCTATATAAATAAATAAACTTTGATATTCTTGCTGAACCCAGTTGGCTGTTTTTCCTGACTCATCTGCGTCCGCAACTGAACTGAAACGGAGCATTTTGGCTGAGCTCCTGAGCAATTGCTCAGGGGAAGGAAAAAGCCTGCTTCACTCTCTGTATTAGGAAGCCAAGCTGACAGGCCAGAAAGAATGCTGAAGGAGATCTGTGTTGAAAGGGGGAGGAGAAGGGGGGCATGTTATCTATACACAGGGATGCTGAAGGAGATCTGTGTTGAAAGGGGGAGGGGGAGGGAGGGCCTATCTATATATTCCAGAGACCTGGTACGACTTAGTACAGGCTATACCTTCTTACTTCAAAAAGTAAAGAGTCTCCTTCCATCCCTCCTGACAGGTCAAAAGTAGGCCCCTTGATGGATCTGTGTAAGCGGAATGCTGAGACATGCTCCTTGCATGTACAAAGATATAATTTGATATTTCTATGATGCTAAGGTGACATAGTAATGATGTTAACGCATGTAGAAGCATGTCTCTTTGTTTGCCTGCACTTGAAGATGTATAACAGAGAAAGTCAACCCCTTTATCCTCACTCTGCTTTGCTTTTGGTGGAGATTCCACGCCAGGGTCTCAGCTGAAAAGAAAAATGTACTTTCCTGCCTCTACAAAGGATCGCTCTTGGTAATGATCTCTTCTATCAGCCATAACAAAGCTGTGGCAGGACTGAGGCCACAGACGGCTTTGTTGGACACCTCCTCCCAGCTGTACTCCCCTCGTTGCCTCCTCTGATCAAGGTTCATAGGAGTCCCAGTCCCACCTCACCTGGAGGTCCACAGGATTCCCACCTGGGGCCTGGGAGGCTGATTCTTGGGTTGTATTGAGACCTGGAACAGGGCCACGAGTAAAAGGAAAGGAGGGCCATGAGCAGGAGACTGGGGAGAGAAAAGGGGTCGGGGGCGGAGGTGCCTCAGAAAGGCAGCTGAAACCAGGTTGGTGTCAGACATCAGAATCCTGAAACATACTCCCAGACCTATGGCTCCATAGGATGCTCACCAATGGCACCTGCGGTAACTTTTCTCCCGGTTTCAGGCGGCTTCCCAACGAAGTCGCCAAAGTTGCACAGGCACCACATACACAGCACCACTCACCTCAAGGGGCATCTCAGTTTAAGGAAAAGACATAATCCCCTCACAATGCTCCTGGAGACACAACATGAGCTTGAGAAGAGCTGTGGGTTTTTCCAGAATTTATCTGACTTTCATTCTGGGTACATTTTCTCGTCCTAATTGCCAAATCAGACCACCTCTGGGGTCCTCATTGAGGTTGTGCCAACACCCCTGGCAGCATCATAGGCTATCACTTGTACCTGAGTCTGATTGCCTTCCAAGTGTAGGGTCTTGGTGGTGGGTCTGTAGGTGACTGTAGAGCCCTATTCTTGATCTGCATGCTCTTCCACAGTGATGGCTTCAGTTTGCAGATGTAAGGTGATCCCAACATGGGTTAGCTTGATGCACCTTCCTCCTGACACATTTCTCCTTTTCACCTTCCATTCGTGCCTCGAATTCCACATGCACCCACTGTGTGACCAGCCAAAACCCATGTCCATAAATCCCATTAACTCCAGCACAGCCGCATTCCTTCCTCCCATAACCCTTCCATGGGAACCTTCCATTGGCCTTCCATGGGCAGACCAAAAGGCAGCTTCAAAACTTCAAATCAAGCAATGAGAGTTTATTAAATTTCCTACCACACTTCCCAATCAATTAACAGCAACAATGAACAGTGCTCCAGCACCTATCAGTGGGTGGACCCTAGCCACCATCGGTCTGGACCAATCAACAACTGGTGCAGCAAAAATCTCTTTGTGTTGAACCACTGTCAGTTTTTGGAGAGCAGTCTTTACTGACAACCACTTTGGTCAAGGTGAATAAACACCTCTGTTCTTTGCCTTCATCTCGCCTGTGTCTTATTTGGTTCTTTGGGAGCTTGACATGCCGGGCCCCCAAACCCATGATTCTTGTAATCCTAAAATGACGTAACATATTGGACAACCAACAAATTTGTCCTATCCTGCCACTCGCTCCTTCCAGTTCCTCTTCTTCCAATCTGTGTTTAGAATTATTATTATTTTATTTTATTTATTATTATTTCAATTACTTCTACCCCGCCCTTCTCACCCCCAAGGGGGGACTCAGGGCGGCTTACAAAGGAAGGCACAATTCGATGCCTATGTCAAAAATACATACATACATAAAAGCAATTAAACAGTTAACAGGTTAAAAACATCAGTACATAACACAATAGTAAACAATCTCATGGTCAGTGTTCAGAGTTCCATAAATCCATTCCGTTCCGTCAATTCCTGCCCATCATCAAGGTCTTTCCTTTAGCTGCCAGAATGTCCAAAAGCCTGGTCCCACATCCAGGTCTTCAGTTTTTTTCTGAATGAACAAAGGGAAGTCGCTGATCTAATCTCCCCG